TAACCCCACCTACAACTACCCATGAACCTCCAATAAGCCCGGCAACACCCTCATAGAGAGCTTTTCTAAAATCCTGTTTTACAACACCATACAGCCACAGTCCTGAACACCCAGGCCCTGGACCTATCAGCTTAAACCATCCTAAACGCCATAAACCTTACATCATGAGGAGTCTTTCCAGAATATGGGAAGAGCTTCGTAGAACCCTTTCAAACAAACTTACGGAGCCCTCCAGCCCTAAAGAAACCAAATCTGCAACCCTAAACTCTTCACAGCTACAACCCAAAACACTGAACCTTAATCCCTAAACCCTGGGCCCCCATTCTACCTTTATGGTATCCCTTAAAGTTCCCTTTTACGGAACCCTTAAAGTTCCCTTTACCCCAAGCCTTCACTGGGAGTTCCTTCGTCGCCGGGCGTCTCTGGGCGGGTTTCCCGACTCTGCCGCCCGGCTGCGAGCACCTGAACAGAGCTTAAGGTTCCTAAGTTTGGGATTAGGGTTTAGGGTTTAGGGTTTAGGGTTTAGGGTTTAGGGTTTGGAGCTTTTAGAGATTAGGATTTAGGGTTTAGAGTTTGGGGATCTAGGTTTGATAACTTTCATCATGGTTTGTGCTTCCTGATGGCTTGGCCTGCTTACTAATATGATTCCTGCAGGTATATATATATATATATATAGATATGTGTCATAAAAAACCAAAAACAAATAAACATATAAATAAATAAGATTAGATATATATATATATATACCAGTATACATCTATACATGATGTAGCATAGTGTGTCTATACGATCATCTACCGTGAACACTGGCCTGAGCAGTAAGGCCCCCATGTGCTGAGAGTGCCCTTTTAGAAAACTCCCTTTACAGGAACCCTGTTCTAAAGTTTAAGGGCTTTGGAGGTTCCGTAAAAAGTTACATCAACTCAAGAGTTCTTTACTTATGTACATGCACGGTCCATATATATATATGCTATATACGACCATTATGGATTTAGGTCCCGAAAGACCATCCTCATTATGGATATGGACCCTCTGGGATACTGATAAGTGAAAGGCTCTGTAACGGGGCTGCGATGAGGGTTTTAGGATCTGTAAGCTTGAGTTTTAAATTTGCTGACAGGGTTTTGGCTATTTGGATGCCGTTTTGGCCTAGTAAGTAGAGCTAGGCTAGCAAGCTGGATTGGTCTAATTTCCAGGAACTCCGATAAGAACTCGTACGGGATACGGATTTACTGGGGGTACAGGGTTGGGGGTTGCGGGAATTCCTGTTTAAGGGCTCCGTTGAGGGCTCTACAAAAAGTTTAGGACTTTAGAGTTGAGGGTCGGGGGGGTTTAAGGGTTTAGGGGTTGGATCAGGGGTTTCGGGTTTAGGGGTTTCCCAAATGCAAACTCAGAAAACACCAAACCTACCCTGCATCTCGCCTCCTCCCAATGTAGGAAGCTCCAAGAAAAGTTTCCCTCAGTCGACTTCTCGGCATTTGGCCCATGGGAGAGGAGAGCTTCCTCAGCTGCAATCGGGTTGTGTCAAAGCTCGTAGAGGTTTCTACAAGCGCCATGTGGGGTTTAAGCAATATGGGTATGAAGGTTTGGGGTTTAGGATTCAAGCGCAGCAATTTGGGTTCGGGTTTTTGGATGATATGTCCAGGACTTCGCTTAATAAGTTGTGTCACGTGATATGTCCATGGGGTTTTAGGGTTTAGGGTTTTAGGGTTTAGCGTTTAGGGTTTAGGGTGCCAAAACCTACTTTTGTTGCATGCTCCCTATAAGTTCAATATATTTGGGTGTGTAGTAAGACCTACAAAAGAATAGGTTTTGGTAGTTCAGCGTATAAACCCTAAACTCCATCCTAGACATGAGAAGCCCCAACCCTACTTGAAGGTTCATGGGTAATTATAAGTAGGGAAACTATAAATATAACCCATCTCGGGGAACTTACAACTCCACTTATAACTGCCCCAAATCCCAAACACTATAGAACCCCCCGAGGAACCCTAAACCCTTACAGCCCCACTTTTAACCACCCATGAACCTCCAAGTAGACCCCCAAACCCTCAACCCTAAACCCTCAAACCCTAAACCCTATCCTCCAGCCCCAACGTAAGCGCGCGAAAAAAATGCCCTTACAAAAACGCCAGAGCTCGAAGCTTTGGGGCTTAGGGCTTAGGGCGTATAGGGTTTCGGGTTTAGGAACCCCAAACCCTAAACTCGAACCCAAAACCCCAACTCTGATCCTTAAGCCCTAAGAAGGCCCTTTTAGAAAGGCTGAAGGCTCGAAGCCCTGCGGTTTCATCTTTACCCTGGCAGCTTCCGTCTCAGCATCACTGCCGGCCTCATGCGGGAAGCGAGCTGGGTCTTTAGGGTTTACTTGGAAAGTCGCGGGACTTAATAAGTAGACTGACAAGTACCCTGATAGGGATCCTAATGGGGGTTTAAGATACGTATAGCTCTATAAGATAACTACTTACTATATAAGTCCCCCGAGACTCCAAGTAAGGTTTAGGGCATTGGAATCCCGAGGGGCTTTGGGGGCTTTCAGCTTCGGGTTCAGGATTTAGGAGTTTAGGGCAAAATGTAGAAGCCTTACTAGTTAGACAAGGCCCAAACTCCCAGTGCTCCTTCTCAGATTTAAAGTTTATACAGGGCTTTTTGATCTACAATAGACACACTCTTTTCGACTGCACTCGCCACATTGGGCACGTAAATGTGGGTTTAGGGTTTATGGGTTTTGGGGTGTTCACGGTTTGAAGGGGCCTGGAATTCATAAGGACCTTCGGCAAGCTACTGGAGACGGGTTGGTGCACACCCCTCCCCTTCGTGAGAATTTTGTCAGAAAGCAAGTCGTGCTTGCGAGAGCCAAAGGCACGGGCGCCAACGTTAGCTACTCAACTCCACTGTCGCAACGGCACATCCACATGTTCGCGATACGTCTTTGTAGGTCTTGAAGCACGCCACAAGTGTTTCTTTTTTCCCCAGCAGCAGCAGGCTCACTTGGCCTTGCCTTCTGCAGGGAGCACCTGCGAGCGAGCGGGCAAGTTGAAGAATGAGAACGAAGAGACCACAACCTCCTGTCGCTTCTCTTGTCACCTTTGCAGTTGACCTCGAGCACAGCGAAGTAACTTGCAGACGTAACCCGACACCGAAAAGTACACGCATCTGTCTGGAAAGCGACGACCAGTGGGTGTTGCAGAGTTTGTCACCCACCACCAGGTCCAGTCCAGACCTGCATGGGCAAAATCTCAGAAAGCCTTTTATTTGCCGCACAGATATTGCTTGGGTCCACACCATCGCTTTTGCGACATGCACGTCGCTCTGAACTCGCCCAATTGCGGGACGCCCGCAAACACAGCAAGCCTCAGTCAGAATCCGAACGTCTGATAAAAGTAAGTAAAATGATTTTGCCAAGAAGAGAAGCGCCTGCAGCGTCAGATCCTTCTCAATCGTCCGACCTTAGACCAAACGGCCAACGAAGCATCTAATATCCTACCAGGATTTCCTAGCCGAGAACTGGGCGGATCTTCTTGCCCACTGCATCTCTCGTGGACACAGGGAGCTTCTGAGCAGGAGCAAAATCACACAAACAATCGGAGCTGACAGACCGTCTCACCTCAATGATTTCAGCAATTTCTGCTGCGCGGAACTTGCGCGCAGGGTTCGCCGAGACTTCTGAAGGTGGCAGCCGAGGTCTCAAGGCAGCCGAAAGTGCTTTTGCAAGGCTCTCACCCATGTCTTAGCTCCCCACATGCTGGAAGCGACAGGCGGCGAGCGCAAACAAAGCTTTGATAGCAGCAGCTAAAGCTAAGCGGCACTCGCAATGCAAAAGATAGCAAAAGATCCATGCACAAATTCGCAAATGGGATCAAGCTTCAGCGCCAAAGAGAGCAAAAGCTCCGTGCAAAATTTAGCAAATGCAAAACCGAAACCCTAAACCCTAAACCCTAAACCGTCTGCAAAGGCACAGCACGTTCTCTGATCGCTGCGACGGCACCGGATTAGGGTATGCCAAACGAACAGCAGGTTTAGGGTTTAGGGTTT